TAGAAAATTTTGAGATCTCTCTCTCTAGTCGAAACACAGTGAACTCCTCTCTCGAATCGAATTTTTTATCGGAAGCTCCCTCTCAAACATTTGTGGGTAAGTGACAACGTCTTTCTGAAAAATAGTCTATTTTTAATAAATATTGATATTTCCGTCTAGGATCTTTATTTTATCAGTTTTGTGTGTAAGTGACCTCATTGTCTCGAAAAATAATCCATTCTTTTTAAAAATAAAATGAAATAATTATTTTTGCTTATTATCATGAATTTTAGGCGAGATAAATTTTATGCGCACGTGACCTCATTATCTTGAAAAATAATCTTTTTAATAAAAATTGTGATATTTTATCTATGTTAGAAATTTTGAATGCTGTAAATTAGAAAAATAAATTTATTCATTTTTCTTGTCTATTGTTAGAAATAAATGTGATATTTCTGCTTTTAGTAAAATTGTGATATTTCTTTCTACTGTTTTGAATATTTAGACATTGTAAAATTCATGTGCAAATGACTGCCTTATTATTTAAAAATTGACATTTTTGCAATTGATTATAGTATTGTTGTGAAATGTTTATTTGTGAATTGATATTCCATAAATTGTGATAATTCTGTATTCTTGAATTTTTATAAGAGTTTTTCTATACATATTAAATTGGCAATTATGCTAGAATGCCTTCACAAACTGCTACCTTTCTAAATTTGAGCCCAAAATATTTGATTGGTTATTTTTGAAATATTATAGAGAGTGACTGTTATTAATGGTTTAAGTGAAATTCATATTAATGGTTTCAGTGATATGTTGAGTACACGATATTGCTGCTTTCGAATGTTTAAAGAGATTTAGAAATAATTTAAGTATGCAAGTGGACTCATCCGGTTCGCCGGTGAGGTATAAGTGGACCTATCTGGGACGCCGGTAGGGATTAAGTTGACTCATCCGGTACGCCGGTGAGGTATAAGTGGACCTGCAGGGATTAAGTGGACCTATCTGGGACGTCGATAGGGATTAAGTGGACCCATCAAGACGCTGATGGGGTATATAGGTGACCTACTTGGGACGCCAGTAGGGTATTTTGTGAAATCCTTTGAATTATGCACTGCCGTTAAAAGTGTTATAAGCATTTCAATTATTCGGATTATACTTAATTATGCATTTATTGAAAGTAAAACTGTTGATGCATTTCTGTTAATAGATCTCATTTTGAAAAATATTGATATCTTTCAATCATGATTATTTTTAGGATTATGATGATCACTTACTGAGTAGCCAAACTCATCAAACTATGGTAAACATTTTTTCAGGATAACTGCGGATTCATTTTGAGTGCTAGTCAAGATCAACCTTGGAAGATACTGTTGTCGTACTAGCTTTCTTTATTTACTTTGTAAGACCTTACCACTGTAAATTTGTCCTATCAATAGATGTATATATGTTTTGCCTGTCACATCTCAGGAATAACAATATTGTAAATTCTTGGGGTGTGACATCATGACTCTGCCATATTTGTCTCAATCACACCCAGAGCTATCATGACTCTGCCATATTTGTCTCAATCACACCCAGAGGACGTGCAATTCTCTTATTCTATGTTGATGACATGAATATATCTGGTGATGATGAGGCCACCATTCATCTTATCAATAAACAACTTAGTCAGTGTTTTGAGATGAAAGATTTTGAATTTTTAAAATAGTTTTGCTCCTAAAAGTTGCTTATTCTTCTCGTGGGTATTTACTTACAACTTAAGTACATTACATATATTGTTTCTCAAGCTCGTTTGGCTGATGATACAAAGCATGTTGATACACTTACTCAGTTAAATGTTAAATTTCTATCACATCAAGTAACTCTTTTTCCTTTTCCTTTCTTTCTTTTGGTGGCTGTAGTTTAAGCTGGGCTCAAACCCAAAACACAAAGACTGCAACAAAATGCCTTCAAAATGCTTGCCTTTCTTTGTAGATAATAAAGCGTGTGTTGCATGTCTTCTTTAAGGGATAGAGCTACAATTCTGATTTATTTTGTAGCCTGTAGCTATCTAAACAGTAACTGCAAGCCAAATAGTCTGGACTTCAAAAATAGAAAAGCAAAAATTTTACTTTTGCCATTTTTACAAGAAAATAACCGACACAAAGCTTAAGAGGAGAGGCGACTATAAGACTATTTACTTTGGGACAAGAAGGTCAAAGTAACACCAAATCATTAGAGGTGAACCTCGATAGTTAAGAGTGTATCACATAATTTTGTGTCTAAACAACTAAGAATGATTGTGACAATCTTATACAAAAAGAGAATGGTCTTACTGTATACTACAAATAGTAAATGTTCGAATTGTATTGTTTCTCTTAAGAAGGGGTTGTATATTACAAGACTATTTGCTTTGGATACTAGAACATTACAAGTCACCTCTAACTATCAAATGTGCTATTAACATTTAGGGAAATGGCAAAATTTTTGAGATTTTTTTTTTATTTTGTTTTTGTTCAAGAATATCAGAAGCATCTCTAGCCATCAAATGTGAATTTTGGCAGCTAGAGGTGTATCACAAAATTCAAGAACTCATTATTTTTTTTAAAATTTAAACCTAGTCAATGACATACTTACAACCACTCAATTCTATGTCTAAAGGTTAAGTGTGATTGAGCTTCTTGTATAAAAAATAAATAATCTTGCGGCTTGTTTGGACATACTCGTTACCACAATGGTTCATTGTTTCAATAAAATCAATCATGATAATAGATTATTGAGTAATGATCCTATGAGACCCTCCCACACCCATGTATGTAGGACCCCAAAGTATCACTATTAAATTTGACACAGATCTCTAAAAAAGTCAAGTCTTACACCGATGTGATAACTTTTCTAGAGATCTGTACCAAATTTAATGGTGATCCTTTGAGGTCCTACATACACGGGTGTGAGAGGGTCTCATAGGATCATTACTCTAGATTATTTGTTGTCTGACAGTTTCCTTCACTTTATTCAAAATAATCTGTTGGAAATCATTTTTTACTAGAAATTACTAAAAATGATTAAAAATCACTTAAAAAGATAAATAACATTAAGTAATATTATATATAGGGTGTGGTCCAAAAAAATAATTAAACGCATCAAAACCTTGAAAATGGATGTTCCAGAAAATGTGTTACAAGATTCACTACTTTTAGAACTTGAAATTTATTTTTTCCTTCATATCTATACATTTTGATATCGAGATGATCAATTGAAAATTTTTCCAACACTAAAACAATCCTTTTCGAAGGATTTTAGAGGTGCACCTTAATATTTTACATTTTAAGGTGTCTAAATTTTTTAAATATAGCATGAAATATGTATAAACAACTAACAAAATAATATTATGCTAAGTACATTAATTTTAGATAAGATAGTTTACTCTTGATAAAATTATTTGTCATTCAGGTATGCCTGTATTATATACCGTTCTCCCTTCTTTTTTTTTTTTTGTTAACGTTAAAATTGAAAGGTCGATCCTTTTATTATCTAAATATTTTGAGTTTTCATGCCAACTCCACTCTTATTATTGTGTACATTCTCTTCATAAGGGATAGTATATTTTAAGATTATTTATTTTTCTTCCAACTAAGTCACCTTCATCCGTAGTTAGGGTTGAGAATGGGTTGGATCGGGTCCGGATCCACCAGGATTTGGATTCGGATAAAAAAGTATGCCCATGATCCGGATCCGATTAATCTGGATTGAATGGTATTCTTTGGATCGAATTCGAATTTGGATCTAGATCACATCCAAAAAATTATTTTATATCTATAAAATAATATAATATAGAACAAAAAAATGATATATAACATATATGTATATATGAAATAATATATAATAGATCAATAACCGGGTCAGATCCATATCAGATCCACCTGTATCTAGATCTGATCTGAATTACTATTTAGATCCAAAATTTGGATCCAAATTTAACCTTTCAAATCCAAAATTTGGATCCATACCCAGATTTGGATAGGATTTAAAATCCAAGTTTTAGATCCAAAGCGAGTAAATTCTTTGCCCTATATATAATCATTAAATTTAAATTTTATTTGCCATAATTGTATCACAAAATTTCAAAATTCTCTTGAGACTTCAAAGAGCCCAATAACACATCCCAAACCACCAAATTTCCGCGTAGGCCGAGTTAAAAGCCTTTCCATCCATTTCCCTTATTGGGCTGAGGCAAGTGGTTTTATGGGAGATATTTTGCCATGGGTCTTGTGTAGTTAATTGGTATAAGAGCGACGTGTTTGATTTCATTTCTTTCTATATTCAATCAATAAAGACCTCGGTCATTGTCATGGAATATGCGGTATGTCTTTCAATTTCAATTAAAATAAGAATCAAGTATTATAGTGGGGACTTTGAATTGATTAATATAATGGATATTACGTAATATGGTATATGGTCATGTACTACTAAGCCAAGGCAATTAAAAAAAGAGGCCAATATTACATGGATATGGAATCATATTGGACCAATTTACAATTGTTTTTTGACAAAATAGATTCGGAGAATCTTGTCTTTTCAGCCATATACAAACTAAACAACCCGCCTTTGGTTCACATATAGCCATTTCTTTGTTTAAAATATTTATTTTCACACTAATAACGTGTAAATTTCAATTAAACTTGAATTAAATGTAGATCAATTTCAAATCAAACGACTGAATTTTGCTGAAGAAAACAGTAGGTTTTGGAGTGAAGGTGAACAACCTCAAGGTTCAACAAGATTTTGAAGCCAAAGTCAGCCAAACTTGTGATTTACAGTAACCAATAAAAGCAAAAAAGTGACAAAATGGTCTACCCAAAAACCCACTAAAATTAGCTTCTCTACCAAACTTATCAAGGAACACAATGATATAATTACCAGTGAATATGACACTTTCCTTCCCTTTCATCCCACAACCACAACATGAGACCACCACCACCACCCATTCCTTTTATATATTTTTTTAATGTTTTATTTGACTTTTTGCTTTGGGTTGTTGACTGAATCTTGGTCCTCATAAATCTCCTCTAAAAATGGAGGCAGAGAACCAAGCAACTGCCACCAGATTTAGAGGAAGATTTGGAGGTGCCTTTGCCACTGAGGTCTCACATGGCTCTCACTGTGCATACCCAACTTTCTATCAATCCCTTTTTTTTATCCGTCTGTAGGACAAATACAAAAAACCCAACAAGCCCCATATACCATTTGAACCTTCTAAGAGTAACCCATTCAATCACTATTACTGCGACTCCTTCTTCAATGTCTTCTAGGGTTTTGTCTGTGAAGTCCTCTCTCATTGAACCAGATGGTGGGTCTCTGATAAATTTGGTGGTGCCTGACAGTGAGAGGTTTTCAAGGGAGAGAGAGGCTTCAGAACTGCCTCATGTGAAGCTGACCCAGATTGATTTGGAGTGGGTTCATGTGATAAGTGAGGGTTGGGCAAGCCCTTTGAAGGGTTTTATGAGAGAGGATGAGTATTTACAGAGCCTGCATTTTAATTCTATGAGGTTGAAAGATGGGTCAGTTGTGAACATGTCATTGCCCATTGTTTTGGCCATTGATGATGAGCAGAAAGCGAAAATCGGGGGTTCATCTGATGTGGGATTGATTGGGCCTAGTGGTGACCCAGTTGGTGTTCTTAAAGGGTCAGAACTTGATCTATTTATATGTTTATTTTGTTTATCTAAATTACATCTAGTTAATTTTTTCACTAATTTGATGGCTTTATTGTGCATTATTTGCTCATGTTTATTTTTATTTTTCGTTATTTTGTTATTCTGATTTGTTTATGGTTCAATTAAGGGTGCTCTGATGTGGACTGATCTGAAGGTGTTTTGTTTCTTGTTTGTTGTGAAGACCTTTTGTTTTCTTATTTTATATTATTGGAGAAATATCTATGGTTCGAATGGTGTTGGTCCTACGGACCGTGAACGGATTCGCCTCTGGCCTTTGAGCACATTGGAACCGCATGAGTTCACCTGGTGGTGCATGGTCCGCCAAAATCGGCATGGGTTAGGTGCTAAAGTCTCAAGAGAGTGGCATTGGAGCGACTTGGATTTTGACAAGTAGTTGATGAGCACCAACCAAAGAGAAAAAGACAAAGTAGTTGCTATATTGATTTATGATGCTGTTGGTTGGTTGGCAAGATACTTAATAATCGCATGATTCCTTTTATATCTTAATGTAATCACTTGTTTAGTTGGCTAAGGTTCAACCCAAGGTTATGTTACTTTACATGGATACATAGGCAAGTGTCTAACACGGATACGAGTATAAGAGACACCAACCTTAAATCCAGACTGGTGCGACACATCCACAAACCATTTAAAGAAGGGTGGAGGAGGGACTTTATGTGAAACCGAGTACTTTTAGTTGAAATTTTAAGAAATGTTAAAGAAGTGTCTAGGTTTCTAAATTGTCAAACACATGTGTCATATCCTTGGTGTGTTGGCACAGGCAAGAAACCATGGTTATGCTTGTCCATATTATGTAACCTCAAGGTGGGATGTGGGATTGGGTTAAAAGGATTATAACTTGGAATTTGGAGTTAATGTTTGTTGATTTTGGAGATTGGTTACGAGTTAATACATGTCGAGGAGGGATACAGTGGTTGCATGTATTCCTCAGAGAATTGGAGGAAGTGTAAGGGGTTGTAGACATGGAGAGCTTGTCAAGCAATTGATTTGGGTTGAATGTGGAGCATAGGGTAAGGTTTGGATATTGATTATTGATTTGGTGGGTGGACATGGCCTTCTTGGCAATCTTTGGATGGTCTTTATGATCTCTCTCGACAAAGTCTTCGTGAAAATCATTATTTTCTTGTCATTGTAGGTTATGTGTTGTGGGGGATGCCTCTTATGGTGGAATTGAAGTTTTTTGATATAACGAGATGCCCGTTATGGTGGAATTGAATGGTTGCTATTTTGAGTGTTTCCTTGCATTCATGAGTTTCATTTAGGGGGGCTCTATCTTGTGTAGGCAAGTAAGAGACACATTTGATGAGTCATTGTGAGAACTGTTATACTCCTGATCTGCAGCTTGCTAGCAAAGTTTGGCTGTTTATTGTTCCCTTAGGATCTGACCCAGCTTTCTAGTTGATCCTGTATATGTAGGGAGGGTTGGGGAACTTCATGTACTTGTGTTAGCACAATAAATTTGCAACTTTTCTGTGGAACTTCTTCATCAGATGCATTAGATGGTCATTGGGTAAAATGTAGAGGCTCTAGCGGGTTAGAAATGCAGGGGCTAAATGAGTTGAATGTGAATTTGCAGTGCTTAAGATTGGCATGTGTTTGTGATATACTATAAAATTAAAGCATGTTGAGTATATTTGTCCTAACCCAAATACTCACCACACTTAACAAGAATCTCATAGTTGTCCTAACGTACAAGATTTCTGTTAGGACAGGGTTCCTATTAAATTCTAAGGAATTCAAAGTTTTAAAAACGTCTTTAAATAGTTAACAAACTCTTGATAGCCTAAGAGATTAGGAATTCAAATAGAATTCAGTTTACCTAAAGGGTAGGACTTCTATATATCTTGATAATCTCCAGAAATTAAGACTTCAATAGAATTCAATTTTCCTAAAGTCTGCAACTTTTATAAATCTTGATAAACGTAAGAAATTAGGACTCCAGTAGACGTTGATTTTTTTTATGTCTAAAAATTCTAATTATAAATCCATTTTCCTACTTAAAGTCTAGATGCCCCTCCCTCCCTCCCACCTGCTCTCTCTCTCCCTAGAACACACACATGCACATACACTGCCCCGTAATTGCCCAGGTCGACAACCGGTTGATGTTTAAGAGGAAGTGGAAATAGATGCCAAATACTGTATCATTTTGTTTAATTTATGTGTGAAACAATTTTATGGTTTTTCTTTTTTGGTGAAGTTTGATTTAGTTGATTCATTTCGTAATGAGCAATCATTGTGGGACCAACTCGAATAACAGATGGGTTTATACCATTAAAAGTTATCTTGTAAGTGTCCATGTTGCAAACTGGCATGCAATCAGTGATTTCTTTTTACTTTCTTTCTTTTGAGGATTTGACATGCAATCATTGTTTGCATGAACATATCCTTGTCTATGTGGCATGAGAAATGTATGCGTTGTTTTTAACCAGTGATAGCCGATGAGGAATTATGCATCTACGTGGAATATAGAAGAACTCTCTGATGATATGCAGTATCATCAGCTGCACACATGTGAGGGCCTATACGTTGTGCAATGTGACCCATAGAAAATAAATACCATGCCATGTAACATGTATCTTCAGCTCTTGCTTGTGAGTGGAAATGGAAATGAGGAAGGGAGCCATCTGCTATGTCTTGCCTATGGTGGGAATTTATCCATAATTGTATCAAGACCAATGTGGAAATATAATGCCCTATCATGTTTTGGATTATTAATGAGGATGACTTGGGAAATACTACGGTAAGGGTGCTACTGAAGTCAAGGCAGGGTCTGCTCCTAGGTCCTGTCCCTCTCACTATTGCAATACAACACTGGGTGTTGATGTTGAGAACGAAAAACACAGAATTTTGTACAGAGCGAGGTGCTTCCAGCAAGAGAAGAAGAATAATTTGTGGAAGCATCCGCCTCAGTAAGTTTGAAATAATGAAGGCTACAAATGCAAGTAGCTTGTGTGACTGAGCTTGGTTTCTGCACTGGAGTATGGAGTTCTTTTTCCCTTTGAGATGTTTCTTTACCAATCTTCCCAGTGTTTTGTTTGTGTGCCACTCAATATTTACTTGTAAAGAACCTTCGCACATTCTTGCCTCTGAAGCAAATGTAAAGTGAAACCTACTTGCTGTGTTTGTAGTCATAACCTATAAGAATTGATGTGAGCAGCATAATAGGTTTTCCATTTACCTAAAATATTGTTGTTAGTGGGGTAGAAAATTGGAGAAAATTTTGTTAACAGCTTCCTAGGTTCTAGCTTGACTTCCAAAAATAAGTTGAAAATAATAGAGTAGATTCCTCTTTTGTCTAACGCACTTATAGTCTAATTTGTATTATTTAGGGAGATAGGATACATTGTGAGTTCGTGTCATTAGTTTGGCTGCCCCTGTCTGCCAGCTTTTGTCTGGGATCTGATCTCTGCTGCAAATACACATAAATTAGTATCTTTACACATATAAGAAGCTTTACACATATAAGAAGCTTACAATCCCCATAAAGCATTAGATGATAATTTTGACTGACATAGCAATCTCTGCATTCAGCAAATTTAGTCTTATCTGAAAATGATTCTATTTCATTTACAGGAATTCGGTTGTGCACCATAATGGCACATTTGCCCAGTCAAATGGATAATCCTTGTAACTGCTCTGTGGAGAGTGATGTTTATTTAACGTGTAAAAAGTGGTTGCTAGCTTTACATGATGAGGACTTAAAAGAATGTACTATGTATTGAACTTCATATATCTGTGAAAAGATTATAGCATGCACCATCAAGTAATAACACTTCTGGTTTAGGTATATTAAAACTCCCAGATATTTACATAGTAAAAATAGGAATCTAGTTCAGGAAAATAATGATTTCATGATTCAAGGTACTGTCTCTCATTGCCTTCAACCAATGCTTGAAACTTTTTTATTTTTAATTTTTTTTCATAAGTAGGCTTCATTTGGGAATAATGATTCTAAAAAATGCGGATTTGGATTGGGGATTGCCAATCTGGATAGGGAATGGGAATCGGTGGGGACTGTTCTGGTTCCTAGTTGGAAGCAGAAATCCGTCCAATTTTAATAAATTCACCTGGTTCTATGATAGAATTGGCAGAGTTTGTCACGGAACCGAGCGATCTAGATCGGCCAAATCGCTTGATTCCTACCCATTATATTCTTATTATTTTTTAATTTTAAAATTTTCAATTCTAAAATATTATTTGAAACATTTTTTTGACCGATTCCCACATTTGAGACACGGTCTGATCGAGCCTAGATTGGTGTAATGGTTGACTGGTCCGGGTTTTAAAACACTGTTTGGGAAAGATTCTAGAATGGGTTTTGGCACCATATCAGTGAGATGGTGTTGGCCGTCAATAGGTATTGGTTTTCCATACCCCACCTCATTCATATAAGCAAAATATTGCTAATAAGCTGCATTTTCGCATTCTATTTGGAAAGGGGTCCCAACCCCTTTCCAAATATTTGTTGGAAACTTATGTGTTCATGATGATCCAGGACATTATATTTTGGCAAATTTCCCTATATCAGTTTATGGACATGACTGGGATTTGATTGTTAGAGAGTGTTAATAGCACGAGTCATTTATAATTTGGTCTAAATTTCCTCCATGGGTTTATGAAATCTGGAATAATGTTCTATTAAAATAGTATTTTGTGAGATTTGTTTTTACAATCATTATCCTACAAGGGACAAATTTTTGTCCCTTTCGTTTTGTGAAATTCAGATCTTAAATTGATTGATTTGATCTGTAATTCTAGCTGAGATTTTGTACTAATTCTATTCTATTTTTTTTCTTCTCAGTTTGTCCATTTTTTGTTTTAAGCCTGGACCTTTGGCCAAAACTGGATCTGAAATTGAAACTATTAAATGTTAATTTGGGCTAATTTGATTTTCTCTCTGTTTTTCTTTATTTAGTTATTCTTTCTTTCAGATATACATGCGAGCATGCTTGATTTACACAGCCGTTGTGCTTTGGCCTCTTTTATAGAATTCAAATATACAAGCACAACAAAGAAGAAAGAATTGCCAGAACTTGGGGAACAACAGCCCCTGGCTTACCATATGTGGAGGAGGTAATCACCCCTGCTGGGAATTGGCTCATTGGTGGTGATCTGGAGGTCTTCAAACCTATAAAATACAATGATGGTCTTGACCACTACAGGCTTTCGCCCCAACAACTTCGCAAAGAGTTTGATAAGCGTCAAGCTGATGCTGTGTTTGCCTTTCAGCTTCGCAACCCCGTTCACAATGGGCATGCATTATTAATGAATGATACGCGTAGGCGCCTTCTTGAAATGGGTTACAAAAACCCCATATTATTGCTTCATCCTTTGGGTGGGTACACCAAGGCAGATGATGTGCCCCTAGATGTTCGTATGGAACAACACAGTAAGGTCAGTGCTAAACCATGAGACATAATATCTCTGATATGAAAAGTATACTATGATTGACTGGACGAAGTGAAACCGTAGTCCATTGAGGTCTTCATTCTCTGATGAAATGATGGGTGGTGAGGTAAAGAGTGTGACCCACAATTCATTTCACTTCATTTCACATCATGTTGATGACTCAAAGGTACTATGATTTTTACATTGTCCATTGGATTTGTATATTCTTTTCTGATTTAATCAACACTATTTTCAGAATTTATATAATTTTCTGTATCCTGAAGACTGATTATTGTTTCATTGCTTGCATCCTCTTTAAGGATTTTCAACAATTTTGTCTTTTTACTTATATTCGTTAGGTTCTTGAAGATGATGTGCTTGATCCTGAGACTACAGTTGTGGCTATTTTCCCATCACCCATGCATTATGCAGGTCCTACTGAAGTACAGTGGCATGCGAAGGCAAGGATTAATGCTGGGGCTAACTTTTATATCGTTGGTCGTGACCCTGCTGGTATGAGTCTTCCTACAGAAAAGAGGGACTTGTATGATCCTGATCATGGGAAATTGGTTTTGAGCATGACTCCGGGCTTGGAGAAACTAAATATTCTACCATTCCGGGTATGCATGCCATTTTACTAGTTAAATTGTTTTTAGTGAGTTTTTTTCTTTTCGGGTTTGTAGTTATTACAAGTTATGTTCATTAATCAGATTAAATGTGAACTTAACCATAGACTCTAACTTAAAGATGGCCATGCAGCAAAAGGAAGAAGAGTTCTTCTTGGGCAGGAAACTTGGATTTAATCCATATTTTCTTTATAAATATTGAAGAGTTTCTTGGAAACAAAATCATTTATTACTGAAGCAATCAATCTTTTGGTCTCTTCACAAAACGAAGTATGTTATTGTTGTGGGCATCTGAACAAAATTACACATTGTACTTTTCTATGTGCCTATTGTGTATTTAAGTGATTGGTTATCTAAAATTGTGGTACCTCTGAAGTTGTGGCTCTTAATTCACTCGAAAAAAAAAGTTGTGGCTCTTGAATGCTTATTTTATATCTTTTTTGCTTTTGAATGTTAACTTGGGGACCTGTTTGGAATGAAACTCAAGACGCCCCCATGACCACCTATGCTTGCGCTCATTCCTCATATTCATCTTCTTTCAATTTGTACCTTTTAATTTGGGTCAATTTAGCAGTATAATTAGTAGAAACTTCATTTGCTGTTGTGTTCATGGGGCTTTAGTCGATTTCTTTAGTAGAAAAACTTGTAACCCTCTCTGTCCAAACTCCCTGTGCCTTCCCTTTCTCTTATTTGTCAGGTCTGGGGTAGAAGACCATGCCAATGGGTCGCGCTACCTTCAGTGGGGGCATCAAGAGAATCTGGGTGATCTGGAATCCCCAAGAACATTCCCTGGTCTCCTCCCATTGAGGGGAATTCTCTGTTTCTCTTCTTCTGTCTTGCACCTTAGATGACCTCCTTTGGAAATTTTCTGCTATCTACGGCCCCTACTCGGCCACTCTCCGCCTCCGTTTCTGGTCCGAACTTAATATGGTTGCCTCTCTTCCTCATCCTGTTTGGTGTCTTGAGGGCGACTTCTTAGGGGCGACTTCAATAACACTAGATGGTCTTTTGAGAGAAACTCTAACTCTTCCATTTCTCAGGGTATGAATGATTTCTCGGATTTCATTTCTCAGTGTTACCTTCTTGATATACCTCTTCAAGGCTGTTGGTTCACTTGGTCCAACCACTCTCGTCAACCCTGTCTGTCCAAATTTGACAGATTCCTCTTCTCGGTGGATTGGGAGGAAACTTTCCCGGGTTCCCATGCTCAGGCCTTGGCCAAAGTCACCTCCGACCAATTCCCTATGCTCCTTGATACCCAAGCCCTCTGTAGAGGCCTTGAACCCTTTCGTTTTGAATTAGCATGGCTGGAAGAGAAGTCCCTCCTTGAACCCTTTCGTTTTGAATTAGCATGGCTGGAAGAGAAGTCCCTCCTTACCCTCATTCTTGTCTGGTGGAATTCCTTTTCTAGTCAGGTCTCTGACAGGGCTGGTTTCCGACTCCAAACTAAAATCCAGAGGCTTAAAGCTGCTTTGAAGACTTGGAGTAAATCCATTCCTGGGAATTACTGCCATACTAAGGCCTCACTCATTGAATCTATTCTAGCCCTTGATAGGACAGAGGAATCAAGACCTCTGACAAAAGCCGAATTCGATTCTAGAAGTCAATTGAAGTCGGAATACCTCTCCACCCTCAAAAAAGAGGAACTGTATTGGTTTCAGAGATCTAGAGTTAAATGGCTAAAAGCTAGAGACCTCAATACACAGTTTTTTCACCGGATAGGAGAGACAACACTATCTCCACCATTAAAGTGAATAACTCTTACCTTGTCCAGCCTGATGACATAGAACATGCTTTTCTCTCTTATTTTCAAGCCCTTTATACCGCCCCTATCGCTTCTAGACCTACAATGTCGGACCTGGAATTCCTGTCTCTAACAGATGCACAGGCCCTTGGGCTTGAGCGTCCATTTCTGGAAGAGGAAATTCTAAAAGCCCTACATGATGTAGCTGGAGACAAAGGCCCCGGTCCTGATGGTTTCCCCGTTGCCCCCTTCAAATTATTCTGGGATACTTTTCGCTCAGATTTCTTGAGTTTCTTTGATGAATTCTTTCACCGGGGAATTCTACATAAGGCTATTAACGCCACTTTTATTGCTTTGGTACCAGAGGTGAAAGGGGTTGAGGAGCTCAAGGACTTTCGTCCAATTAGTCTGTTGAACTCCTCCTACAAAATCCTGGCCAAAGTCTTGGCTTCAAGATTGCAGTAGGTCCTTCGTTCCATTATCTCCCAATCTCAATCAGCCTTCGTCAAAGCTGGACAAAACTTAGGTGGAGCATTACTAGCCCATGAGTGCATTCACTCTAGGCATTTGTCAAAAAAACTGGGGCTCATTTTCAAAATTGACTGGGAGAAATCCTATGACCATGTAGACTGGACCCTCTTGGATGAAACCATGAGAAGAATTGGTTTTAGAGTTCGGTGGTCGAAATGGATGACAGGTTGTCTTTTTAACCCATTATTTTCCGTTCTTATCAATGGCTTCCCCAAAGGTTTCTTTCCTTCCAGCAGGGGGCTGTGCCAAGGGGACCCTCTCTCCCCATTCCTCTTCACAATTACGGCTGAAGTCTATAGCCGGTCCATCTCCCGCCTCTTCCAGGCTGGCCTTCTCTTGGGTTTCCAAACCTCTCGTCGAGGACCTGTTGTGTCACATCTGCGATACGCAGATGACACACTAGTCTTTTTAGATGCCTCTCTACAAGAAGTTGAAAAATTGAGATTGTATCTCAAATGCTTTCAAGAGGCCATTGGCTTTAAAGTTAATATGGAAAAATCTACAATGATAGGGGTCCTCATTTCGATTGCTGACATTAAGGATTTGATCCCGACTTGGGAATGCAAAGTGGACGAACTCCCCACTGTGTATCTCAGATTGACCCTAGGCCTTGGTAAACCCAAAAAGAGGCACTGGTCACATGTTATCGACAAGGTCGACCGGTGCTTGGCGGGTTGGAAAGACAGATACCTTTCTCAGGCAGGCCGCTCCACTTTAATAAAAGCAACTCTTGCCAGCGCTCCGATCTACCTTATGTCACTTTTCCAAATTCCATCCTCTGTGGCAAATCGGCTTGAACAATTAATGAGGAATTTTCTGTGGTCGGGCCAAGCGGAGCAATCCAAGTTTCACCTAATCTCTTGGAATAAAGTCTGCCTACCTAAGCAGCAGGGGGGACTAAGTATCAAGATACTTCGAAAACATAACCAAGCCCTCCTAGGTAAATGGTGGTGGGGCCTCGCTACGCAGACTGACTCCCTGTGGGTCCAAGTCATGCGCCACAAATATAATATTGCTGAAGGAACATGGGTGCCAGATAAGAGAAACATCAACAAGGCCTCAGGCGTGTGGAAATCTTTCACTTCATCCCTCTCATTATTCAGGACTTTCATTTCACTCAAGGGAGGGTACAAGAGTGTGCTTTTGGTCAGATACTTGGCTTGGTCACACTCCTTTTAGGGAACTGTACCCATCCCTTTATTCCATAACCTCCAATAAAGAAGTAACAGTCGTTGAAGCAATGACAGTAGTGGGAAACCGAAGGGAGTGGAACCCTTCCTTCAGAAGAAATCTCTCCGATGAGGAAATCTCATTGTTTCTCTCTTTCCAATGCTCTTCAAAACTCTTTCATCCCCACCCATGGGAGGGATCAATTGGTCTGGTCCTTCACTCCCTCTAGGACTTTCACGGTTGCATCTTTCTATAAAAGACTTATACAACAACCCACTTTCCCTCTCAACCCTCCCTCGGTGTTATCTAATGTATGGAGCACTATCGCACCCCCCAAAGTGAAGTGCTTCAACTGGATAGCAGGTTCTCAGAGGGCCCTTACGGTGGATCACCTTCAAAAAAGAGGAATTCCAATTCCCAACAGATGTGTCCTTTGTCTTTGCGAAGAAGAATCTAACCCACATCTCTTTCTACATTGCAACATGGCTCACAACCTTTGGGGGCAAATGTTACAGCTATGTGGTGTCCAATGGGTCATACCAGTGACAGTCAAAGAATTGTTACCTCTTCACTGGCTTAAGGCAGGGAGAACAATTTGGAAAGCCGCAGTGGCAGCTATTATTTGGACAATCTGGAATGAGAGGAACTCTAGGATTTTCCAAGGAATAGCTATCGAAGGTCCAACCTTGTTCCATAAAGTTACATCCTTAGTAACTTTTTGGGCTTCCAATCACCGTATCTTTGCAGGTCTCCCTGCTAGTGCTTTTCTCTACAACTGGAAAAATATCATGGTTCACCGTCCTCCCAAGGCTCAAGGACCCCATCTATGGCAACCCCCCACCCGAGGTACCATTAAACTTAATTTCGACGGGTGCTCCTTTGGAAACCTTGGTCGTGCTGGGGCGGGAAGAGTGTTCAGGGACCACCGCCGGGCAATTTTGTTTACCTACTCCGAATACTTAGGCATCCAAGACTATTAGCATGCTGAGGCAATGGCCCTCCTCATGGGATTGAAAAGCTTCAATCCGTCTTGGGGGCAAAATCTTACTGTGGAAGGGGACGCTAGTAACATTATTTCTTGGGCATTAGGGGGCTCCTCCCCTCCTTGGTATCTTGCTCCCATTTTTTATGAGATCGCTGACATTTGCAGAGCTATGGACGTCTCATGGACGCATACCTTGAGGACGTCATACGACTTGGCTGACCTGCTAGCAAAGGACGGGGCTAGAGCTCACACACAAGACACAGAAGGTTAAAGGAACAACAGCTTTTGGCCATCTAATTTTATCTTTTATCACACAATTTTCTGTACAAAGGGGCAAATTATAGCCCGATCTTTTATAATATCATTGTAGGGCTGTCCTCTTCACTTTTTTGTATAAGGTTGGCTGACAACTGATTACGAGGAGTCCCACTGCTTAGGGACCCTCGGTTTTAATACCTCTGTATTAACTACTTCAATGAAATACAGTTAACTTCTGTCAAAAAAAAAAAAAACTTGTAACCATTGAAAGGTAAGAAGTAAATTTTGAATGGACGACCAAATATC